CTCCCTGTTAAAAAAATCATAGAATCCATTAAAGTGTCTGTTGGTTCCTGGTGGTTTTCAGTAGTCGCTAATGGTATTCTGTGTTTTCCTGATGAGTTGATGTCACAGTGTAAAGGATTCTGATTATTTAATCAGGTTTTTTGGGACTGATTCCACATAGATTTGATCATTTCCTAATGGTCTGCAACCATCAAGTCAATTGCTGCTAAGAAGCAAAACCATTAGGTTTTATTCCTAACGGCCCTGCAAACACATTTATGTTGTGACAACGTACTGTTTTGGTGCCCACAACATTGTCTTGGTGCTCACAACGTTAAAATTCAATTCTTCAGAAAGTTATGACAACGTTGTCTGACAACTTTCTAGGAGGTTATGACAATATTGACGAGACAGCAAAAATAATCAGTACTACATTGACTGTACGTTGTCACAACCTCCTAGAATCTTTAATAAGTTCTATTTTAATCAATATTACAGTTTTTGATATCCGGTTCTAATCGTCTTCAGCATGACTTTCATGCGTTTCAGCGGTAGCCTTTGTTTTTTCTGTGAATAAACCCGACATTCATGTCATATCATCGTGGTAGGCTTTATTTTGAAATTTTAATTACCTTATTATCAATATGACGTTAATATACATTCAGTGTAACTTTTGTTGCCCAGCAGTATGTGGTTCCATGTTTTTCCTCATAAAGCCGACAAAAACACCATTGTGGCAGAGCGTGCACTGACATCATCAATAGGCTGGCGGTGCATGTCAGGCTGAGAGTGCATGTCTGCAGCCAGACCCTTGCAGCAGTTACATTCTGGTGCTTCAGGCACAATTTAAGGTGGAACAGGTAAATTCAATCAAAAAGCTGGTGAATGAGAAGCTGACTTCAGCCTTGTAAAAAAATTCAAACGTTGAGAGACATTTTACAAGAAACTATTCCACTTTTGCAGAAAAGTTTTCTGCTGGAGATGCGAGAAAAGTAACTATAGCTGAGCTAAAGCCTAAAGCAGAGCAGAGTAAGTCTGCGTTTTCGTTTATTAAATATTATTAAATTTTTTGGCCTATACTAGTACATTAGCACATACTGAGACATTTACAGCCAAGATTGTAAAATGTTAAAACAACAATAAAATGGACATAAAATGTTGTGGCTCCCAAGATGGTTTGATTTTTGTTGAAAGGACAAAATGGCTCTTCTTAACATTTGGGTTGCTGACCCCTGGCTTTATGAGTCAAATAAGCTTCCAGACCTTATAAAAAAATGCATGTAGCCAATATAATGACCTTGTAAAGCAGAGGATCCAGTAACATTCAGCTAAAAAAAGGTACATAAGATAGAACATATTGAGTTTGGAATAATGGTGGCGGTGTTCAGACAATCCCAGTCATTTTTGCCATGAAGCAATCTAGCTTAGCCCCAGGCTTCAGTGGCCTATATGTCTATTAGAAGAATTTGAGTAAGTGGATAATTGGTTTTTCCACAGATAGAATTTTATTCTTTCTTGACACTTTCTGCCAGGTGATGTAAGTGAAGCATTTATAATTTGGATCATGAGTGCTCCACTTCATACTTTTGTTGCATATTAAATTTAAATTTTCTTATTTTCTTTTTTTCTTTTTCTTCTAGAAATAAATGATGTCCTGTATGAAGTCTTCTCCTGCACTTCCCTACTCAGCTTAAATGTGTTTCCATAAACACATGAGGACATAACATCAATAGGAATTTAAGCTGTTGAAACAGGTTAAATATAAGAATATGGCATCCAGAAGACGTTCCAGTACTCCGCAAATGTCATCTGGTTCCCTCCAAACAAATAAGTCTAACAGACAAACACTGAAATGCAGCAAGGAGAGAACACACTTCTGCCTAGAGTGTGGAAAGAGTTTTACGCTACAGAGTAATCTCAAAATACACCGGCGCATTCACACAGGAGAGAAGCCGTATTACTGCTCAGAGTATGGAAAGAGTTTTACTGTACACAGTACACTCAATGCACATCAGCGCATCCACACAGGAGAGAAACCATATTACTGCTCAGAGTGTGGGAAGAGTTTTAGTGTACAGAGTAATCTCCAACGACACCAGCTAATTCACACAGAAGAGAAGCTGTATCACTGCTCAGAGTGTGGGAAGAGTTTTAATCAACAGGGTCATCTCCAGGAACACCAGCGCACACACACAGGAGAGAAGCTGTATTACTGTTCAGAGTGTGGGAAGAGTTTTACTGTACCGAGTAGTTTCAATAAACACCAGCGCATTCATACAAGAGAGAAGCCATACACCGCTCAGACTGTGGATAGAGTTTTAATTGACTGAGTACTCTCCTTCAACACCAGCATGTTCATACAAGAGAGAAGCCATATCACTGCTCAGATTGTGGGAAGAGTTTCAGGCGTTCAAAGACTGTGATGACACACAAGTGCACTAAGAGCAGTGGTGGAAATGGTAATGAGTGTAACCACAACACATTCTGGGAGTACAGGTCTCCAAGAAATGGTGCTTCCAGCCCAGATTTCAAACTGTTTTTAGGGGAAATCCACCTATTGTTTTACACTGTTTCTAGAACATGAGCATAAAATCAATTTTTTTTTCCTGTCCCAAACACCAAGTTAAGCCTACAGCTCATACACACAGTGAGAAGGTGCAGTACTGCATCTTCTACCCAGAATGAGTTTCATTTGTAGTGTATATTGGAAACGATCAAAAAAGCTCTGCATTCAATAGATATTGATTACTATAATAAAATGTCTAGTATGTCTAAGCTAGGATAGTGTTTCTGATGCAGTGATGGATATTTTGACAAACATTTGACAATGTTCTTGGCTCCTTTGATTCCTACACATACTACTTAAAGCTTTTTGCAATAAAAGTGCCACTTTGTCTTCCCTGTGAAACTGTGGGTTGTAAAGGAGACACCAGAGTACAAAGGACTGCAAAACATCAAGCTTTCTGATTGACATTGGAGATGGGAATAGAAGTCCTTTTTACATGTCACAGTGCACTTTTCAAGGAACAGTCATCCTCTAAGCATCACAAAGAACATCAACAGTCCAATAGACCTGAGTAAGGCCTACATGTGCCTGAGCTACGCATAAAGTTGCATGCAGGCCAAACTACAATTCCATGAACTTTCCATTGCTGTTTACAGAGGCTTTAAGGTCTCTTGGTGTTCTTTGTGATACTTGGAGAATACTTGGAGATACTTGGATACTTGATTGTTCCTTGAGAAGTGCACTGTGACATGAGATAAGGACTTCTATTCCCATCTCCAATCTATCCTGCTCAGCTGTTCTATCACGTACTCTGTCTACATTGTAAGCCTGAGGCCCAGCTGGAAACCTCATTTTGTTCACTCTAACTTCTTCAGAAGCCTAAAGCCTTACCCTACACTCAAGGTCTAGCTCAAAGCCTTCTTTTGCTTACTCTGACTTCATATGCCTAAGGCCTTGCCCTAAACATACTCTGACTTCACCACAAACCCAATACTTAGCTCTAAACCTAATATTACTTAGATGTTTACAATTCACTCTAACTTCTTCATTAACATAAGCCTTTGCTCTAAAGCTATTATGTGTTTCACTATTTCAGACGTGTTTCACTATTTCAGGCTCCTGTTGCTTCTACATCACAGGCCTAAAGCCTAACCTTCTACGCACTATTACTCACTCTAACTTCACCATAAGTCTAGCTCTAAACCTATCATCACTTACTCTGACTACAATATAGCTGGAAAGTTCAGTTTGCTTACACTAAATTCTTCAGAAGGCTAAGGCCTAACTCTATACCTACTGGTAGATACTCTATCAACAATATAAGCCTGAGGCATAGCTTTAAGCCTCCTTTTGTTTACTATAATTTCGTTGTCTGCCTAATGGCTTTTTTTGTATATAATTTTACATACTTCATTGTTAACCTAAGGCCTAGCTCTTAACTTAGTATTACTTAATCTGTCTATATTACAAGCCTGATGTGTAGATCCAGGCCTACTTTTGCTTATTCCAAGTACATTGTGAGCTTAAAGCATAGCTCTTTACCTAATTTTATTTCTCTTACCTCATGTACCTCCTTTCATTCATCCTCATTTCATCATTTGGCTATGGCCTAGCTCTAGAACTACAATTTATAAACATGTGTAAACATAATATTGCTTACTCTAACTTCATCAAAAGCTTAAGGCATAGCTCTCTAGCTACACTATATTGCCAAAAGTATTCACTCACCCATCCAAATCATTGAATTCAGGTGTTCCAATCACTTTCATGGCCACATGTGTATAAAACCAAGCACCTAGGCATGCAGACTGCTTCTACAAACATTTGTGAAAGAATGGGTTGCTCTCAGGAGCTCAGTGAATTCCAGCGTGGTACTGTGATAGGATGCCACCTGTGCATCAAGTCCAGTCGTGAAATTGCAGTGGTGTAAAGCACCGCCACTGGACTCTAGAGCAGTGGAGACGTGTTCTCTGGAGTGACGAATCACGCTTCTCCATCTGGCAATCCGATGGAAGAGTCTGGGTTTGCCAGGAGAACGGTACTTGTCTGACTGCATTGTGCCAAGTGTAAAGTTTGGTGAAGGGGGGATTATGGTGTGGGGATGTTTTTCAGGAGTTGGGCTCAGCCCCTTAGTTCCAGTGAAAGGAACTCTTAATGCTTCAGCATACCAAGAAATTTTGGACAATTTTATGCTCCCAACCTTGTGGGAACAGTTTGGGGATGGCCCCTTCCTGTTCCAACATGACTGTGCACCAGTGCACAAAGCAAGGTCCATAAAGACATGGATGAGCGAGTTTGGTGTGTAAGAATTTGACTGGCCTGCACAGAGTCCTGACCTTAACCCGATAGAACACCTTTGGGATGAATTAGAGCGGAGACTGCGAGCCAGGCCTTCTCGTCCAACATCAGTGTGTGACCTCACAAATGCGCTTCTGGAAGAATGGTCAAAATTCCCATAAACACACTCCTGAACCTTGTGGAAAGCCTTCCCAGAAGAGTTGAAGCTGTTATGGCTGCAAAGGGTGGGCTGACATCATATTAAATCCTATGGATTAAGAATGGGATGTCACTCAAGTTCATATGCGTGTGAAGGCAGATGAGCAAATACTTTTGGCAATATAGTGCAGACATTAGTGTAGACATAAGGCCTGCAATAAAGTTTGAGTAAGCAAAAGTAGCCTCATAGATAGGCCTCAAGTTTATTTATTTCACTACATTGAAAGCCTGAGGCTTAGCTGTAAGCCACCCTTCACCTACCTTCTTTCATTCATGATAACTATACGAGGTGACAAAAGCCCTTTCCATTAACGGTTTTTACTTACTTTAACCTCAGAATAAGCCTGGGGCCTAGACAGAAGCCCACTTTGCTTACTCTCATTTCATCATAAGTCTAAGGCCTAGGTCTACACTTACTATTACTTAATGTCTCTACATTATAAGCTTCATGTCTAGCTCTGAGCCTACTTTTACTTATTTAAAGTACATCATGAATTCAAAGCCTTGCTCTATGCCTACTTTTATTTCTGTAACTTCATCAGAAGCCTAATGCCTTGCTCCCTTACTTCCTTTTGTTTCATCATCTTACACATCATCTTACACATTATATCTAAACCTACCTTTGCTTGCTCATAAGATTAAAGCCTAGATGTTACACATCCTATTCCTTACTCTGTCATCATGAGCCAAAGGCCTTGCTCTAAATGTAGCGTTTACTTAAACTACATCATGTGCACATGTGGCCTAGCTCTAACACAAAAAGCCTAAACTTACCATAAACCTGAGGCCTACATGTAAATATACATCTGCTCACTCTAACCTCATTATAAGCCTAGTCTGGTCTGGCTAACTAACTACTTTTTCACACTAATGGCATCATTAGCCTGAGGCCTAGCTCCACAGCTACCTCAACTTACTCTGACTACTTTAGTGTCTACTTTTAAGTCAGAAGCTTAGTGATAAAGCTATGTAAAACTACTTTGGCCTACTCCACCATCAGCAATAGCCTAAGGCTTAGCTCTTAACCTATCTGTACTCACTGCCACTTTAGCATTAGCCTAAGGCCTACTTTTCCTTATGCTAACGGCATCATGAGCCTAATGCCTGGCTCTGCATCACAGACCTTTGCTCACTCCAAGTTCAGCACACCTCTGCAAGATATGTACCATAACGTTTATTTGTTTATTCATTTATTAGTAATATTTTATTTTATGCCAATTCATGCCTCTTTTCTTTTGTCCCACACACACACACACACACACAGGCCCCTTCTGACTCCACTCTGGAAAGCCTTCAAATGCATAAAACACACACACAAGAATATTAACAGAATATGTAAATAAGCAGCTCTTATTAATACAAACATACATAACTGTGCCCCCATTTTTTATTCATAAATACACATGCATGTAAAGGCAGAAAAGGGAAAAAAATAGATGTTTCCTAAAAGTGTGCACTGAACTTGACTCTCTAATAAAAGGTGAAACTGAGTTCCACAGTTTAGAAGCATAACTAAAAGAGGCCTCTCTACATTTTCTGTGTGTATGCACTTATACATTCATATAACATTTCAGTACATTACATACCACTAACCACACAATAGAGCAGGGGTGTCAAACTCGACCACTAAAACGGCAACATTAAAAAAAAAATCTCAAACATTTTGCCATATCCCGAGCTGGCTATTGATTATTTAAAACATGCCAAAACACCAACATCAAAATAAAGGCAGTTTTAGTGAACCTTGAAATACTACATAACGAACACAAAATATTAAAAAATAAAATAGGCTACAGTACACATTATGCACATTACAATAAGCTACATTACGCACACTATGCTGCAGTGCGTGCTGGGGATTGTAGTACAGCGCGTCGTGAAACGGGGTAATATTGATAGAAAATGAAAATAATTTATATGTAGATGATTTATAGTCACGATTACGCTACAGGCGTGATGTGTGACACGAGCAACAGAGTAACTACAGGCAGACTAAGAAATTTCGCGGGAAAACGGACTCAAACACAACAGAAACTTGCGTTACATTTTCTCCAAATGAACATCGTGTTTCTTTAACAGACACAAAAGAAAAACGCTCCTTCTGCGAAAACGTGGGTGGCTCTTAAAAGAGCCGTTGGGTTTGAAAAACACTTACTCACTTCTTACTTAGAGCTAGTGTACTTGGTGACGGCCTTGGTACCCTCTGACACGGCGTGCTTGGCCAGCTCACCGGGAAGAAGCAGACGCACGGCGGTCTGGATCTCTCTGGAGGTGATAGTTGAGCGTTTGTTGTAATGAGCCAAACGAGATGACTCACCGGCGATGCGCTCGAAGATGTCGTTGACGAATGAGTTCATGATGCCCATCGCCTTGGAAGAAATACCAGTATCTGGGTGAACCTGCTTCAACACCTTGTACACGTAGATAGCATAGCTCTCCTTCCTGGACTTTCTGCGCTTCTTGCCTCCTTTGCCAGCCGTCTTAGTCACGGCCTTCTTGGATCCCTTCTTCGGAGCGGACTTCGCTGGCTCAGGCATTGTTCTCCTCTTCGAATACGACTGAAGAATAAGAAGGAACTGCCGGCACCCGGCTTAATTAGACTCTGAAATTCAAAGTGTAATAAGCTCTGCCCTCTGAATGCTGTCAAACGATCATTGGACAACAATCGACGGCTCGCTTGGTAGACAACTTGCCCAACTCCTCCTCCTTCTCCCCCTCCCCCCGGCTAAAGACTTTCCCTTTGTTAACCTTCCCGCGCATTCTTAGCCCACAGTTTCCTGTACAATACATTTATCCCTATCAAGTTTATTCATTACACACACAGACAAGCATGTATAGAAGCTATACGCCCATCTCACGATAGCGCATGAAATATACAATTGTATACACTTTTGGGGACCGTCAACTAATTTCAACGTTCTACCCAACTCCCTCTCCGGTTGTTTTGACATTAGACTAAAGGTACTCTATGGTTGTTTTGAAGTTAAAGAACAAATATTACAGCGTCATAATGTAAAGTCTGCCGTTTTCATTACTACTGAACAGCGCATACAGGAAAGGTTCTTTCGGTGGGTATGTGGGTGGCTCTTAAAAGAGCCGTTGGGTTTAGAGTTGGTCGAGTCGAGCGTTTAACCGCCGAAGCCGTACAGGGTGCGTCCCTGACGCTTCAAGGCGTACACCACATCCATAGCGGTGACGGTCTTCCTCTTAGCGTGCTCGGTGTAGGTAACGGCGTCCCTGATCACGTTCTCCAGGAACACTTTAAGTACACCGCGGGTCTCCTCATAGATCAGACCCGAAATACGCTTGACACCGCCACGACGAGCTAAACGGCGTATAGCCGGCTTGGTAATACCCTGGATGTTGTCGCGGAGCACCTTACGGTGACGCTTCGCGCCACCTTTGCCAAGACCCTTACCACCCTTTCCTCGACCAGACATTGTCTCCGTTTGCTCGCTCAGTCGACGAAAGCGAATCAATGAAACCCAAGGCCACCATACGCGCCTCTTATGCTCCGCTACAGGACCTAGTTGAAGCCAAGGCACTGGAGGCGGAGCCGCGCTCAACAGACGATACAAAGATTACAGAGAAAACGTCACACACGATGGAATAAATCGAATAAATAACACTCGTGTTATTATAACTATACCATTACCAATACTATTGTTAGTAGTAGCATTTCACAGCCTTCTAAATCGCATGTTACTTTCATTCGAAACGTCAAAAATTGTCCAAAGTACAAAAGATAAAACGACAGGGAAATAAATAAATAAATAAATAAATAAACAAAATTGCAATACAATTCATCTTAATTTAAGAAAATATTTCATATTTGCGAGACAAAGTGGGTTCCATCAAGGCTGCTTCAGATGTAAGGAAACACACTGCTATGAGGTAAGAAGTCTATAAAAATAATATAATACCAAAGTGTGTGTATATATATATATATATATATATATATATATATATATATATATATATGTTCACATATATGAGAAAGTTTATGTAGGAAATAAATGCTACGGCTGTCATGCATATGTCATGGATGAAGCTTGGGCGCCAATTCCCATTTTCTTTATGCAGCCTCGCAAACACAATTCAAGAAGTCACTCAGTAACAGTATTTGCACATAAGAAAATATCTCTTGTTCTTGTACTTTCAGGTTCAGTGTTGTTGCTTCCTCTGATCTGCAAATCAATAGTTAAACTACACGTTCGGTGCTGTTATTATTATCACAAAAAGTTGTTTTTGTGCTCGTAGTGCTTGGTAAACACTGCGAGGAGTGGGGGAAACAGGACGTAAAGGTAAACGATACGTTTAATTCGTCTTGGGAGCCGCCTTGAGCGAAATATGCCACTGCTGAGTTTAATATGCCAGTGAATAAAATATTGTTGCTCAGCAGTGGCATATTAGTTAAGTAAAATATTTATTAGACTAACGTAAACACTGGCATATTCCACTCGAATCAAGTATATTCTACTTAGCGGCGTTACACTGCTAGCCCAGCTAGCCTTAGCCCTTTAGCCTAACTTTCGTTGGTTAAAAGCACTAAAGCTGCAAACCAATAGGAGTTAAATATGCTTAACAACTGTGTATACATCAAATGTTTGTGAAATATATCGTTTTACACATCACTTAAACGTGTAATACATTAATAATTTCAACAATGTACGAGAAAGTCCGCTAACACTCGAATATGTTCTTCTGAGAGAGTGGCATATTCCACATGCGTCCGGAATATGTCAGTGGCACGTTAAACGTCACTTCCTTTCATGACGCTGGCAGAAAAACATAACATGCCAGTCCATTGTATGCTGCTACCCCCTCTCGCTTTGGGCTTGACTGCCTTTGGTTTTTTCGGGGTCTTGGCCGCTTTCTTCGGGGCAGCCAGCTACTTGGCTTTCTTGGGAGACTTGGCGACTCTCTTGGGCTCATTGTAGTTTTATTTATTGAAATGTCCTCTGAGGGCAGTATACTACAAAACACAGTTACATCGTGACCACGTAACGTTACTGTTTTGGTGCCCACAACGTTGTCTGGTGTCAGTGGTGCTCTCTACGTTGTCACAACGTTGAAATATAATTCCTCAGAAAGTTGTGACAACGTTGACGAGACAGCAAAAGTAATCAGTACTATGTTGTCTGTAGGAAGTCACAACCTCCGAGAATCCTTAACAAGTTAAATTTTAATCAATATTATAGTTTTCTGATAACAAATGCAGTTCACTGGTGCACAGAAATAGTGTAATTAGGCGATTCAATTATTTACCTAATAATAGTAAATATGCTTTCATGGTAATCAATTTTCATCATTATTTGTCTTTTAATCTAATAATAAATAAATAGGCCTATAAGTGAAACAACTGTGTTTAAATAAAAATTATATAATTTTAACCCAAAATTATGTAATTTTTCTACAAATTTCCAAACTTAAACAAAAAAAATAAATAAATAAAGGAGTTATTTCAGCCTAATACTGACACAGAAAAAACGCCATCTAAAAATTACGTAATTTTTCTATTGCATTTTTCTGTGCCAACATTTCTGTAAATATATAGACATAGAAGAATTCTGTAACTTTCTTATTAAGAAAAAACCCTAGCTCCGGCCTTGGGTTTAACCATTGTCGTATTCCTAACCCTGCCATTTTTCTGAAATTTAAGCCTTGTTACAATACTAACCACAAATCCCAGCTTAAAATCAATCCAAAACCTAATTCCAACCCTTATTTTGGACCTATATTTAACCATTCTCCTACACCTAACCCTAGCTCTGGCCTTGAGTTTAACCCTTGTCGTATTCCTAACCCTACCTCTGGTCTGAAATTTAAGCCTTGTTCCAATACTAACCACAAATCCCAATTTAAAATCAATCCAAAACCTAACCCAACCCTTATGTGGGACCTATAATTAGCCATTCTCCTAACCCTAACCCTAATCCAGCTATTGTATGACATTTCTGTACATTTTATGTATAGACACAGAACAATTCCTTAAATTGTCTACGTAGAAATAAAATAGTTCTTTAATTTATCTTGAATTTCAAAAAAATTTCATCGCTTTTTAAATAAAATATTACATAATTTTAACTCAAAATTATGTAATTTTTCTACAAATTTCCAAACTTAAGCAAAAAAAATAAATAAATAAAGGGGTTATTTCAGCCTAATACTTGCACAGAAAAAATGCCATATAGACATAGAATGCCAAAAAAAACCTAATTTCTTCTATTTCTTCTCCTTCTAGATTTCTACATTTTTTGAATTACAGATTACAAAATTCAAAATACAAAATATGTCTATAAAGAAAATTTGCAGAAATGTTCTATGTCATGATAGGACCATACAGAACTGTTCTATGTCTACATAGCAAATTTACAAAATTGTTCTATGTCTATACTGGAAACGTTTCAGAAACATTTTCAGAAACGTTATATAATAGCTGGATTAGGGTTAGGGTTATTTGCTTAAGATTTTTATAGTGAGGAAGTGCAGTGGGGCTTACTCACTGTTAGCCTGGATATGGAAATATTTAATAAATCGACAAATTATAGAATTCTACTATGTCCACACAGATATGTTCTATGTCTACAGAGAAACTTCACATAATTTTTCTATGTCAATAGAAAAAAATGAAAGAAATGTTACATAATAGCCAGATTAGGGGTAGGGTTATTTAATGAAAGCCTTTATGGTGAGTAAGTCCAGTGACACTTACTCACTGTGAGCCTGAATATGGAAATATTTAACAATAACAGATAAATTACAGAATTGTTCTATCTCTGTAAAGAATCTTAACAGAAATTTTCTAAAAAAAATAATTTTAAAATTACTTACAAATTATTTCCTAACTAGATCTTTATGGTGACAAAGGGCAATTGGGCTGACACATATTTAATTTAGATGTGAAAATATTTAGTATTTACAGAAAGGTAAAAGAATTGATGTATTTCTATATAGAAAATGTACAGAATTGTGTATCTGTATTTACACAGAAAGTCTACAAAGTCATAAAGTGCTTCAAGAAAGCTTACAAAAGTGCTCTGTTGTCATGTTAATATTATGTAATTATCTTTAAAATTTCTGCATGTCTAAGAATTACTGAATATAACATTGTAGAAAGATCATGTAATTTTGACTCGAAATCATGTAAATATGACTGAAAATTATGCAATTTATCTAAAAATTATGTAATTCTCAACATTACGTAATTTTATCTCAACATTACGTAATTTTTCTATCAATTTTTTTTACCTAAGCAAGAAAAATAAGGGGGTTATTTTAGTCTAACGTGCGCGAAAAAAAAAACATAGAAAAATTACGTAATTTTCAGGTAAATTTATGAAATGTTCACTTAAAATTACATAATGTTTCTATAATGTTATAGAAATGTTTGGTAATTTTTAACACCTACAGAATTTTCAAGTACATTTGTGTAATTTATTAGGGATAGTTACAATTTTTATATGAATGTAGAAAATTTACAAAAAGGTTCTATGTAGAATTAAAAATATATATACATATCATTCTCAAAGAAAAATTATAGAATTAT